CATTACCAGAACGTCGATGCAAACAAGCACAGAGATCCCACAACACACGAAAAGAAGGTCAGAATGAGAAAAAAAAATCAATCGTCACTCTTCTGCGGCGGAGGGCCACAAGGCTGCAGCATCTTCTCCATCATGTTGAACCGCACTCTGGCCTTGGTCTCATTCTCCGCAACAGCTACATAATTCAGCATGTCGGGATGGCCCATGATAGAGGCCAGTGTGTCCCTGTGCTGATTCGTCAGCCACTCCCACTTGGAAGTGTCGCTGTGGCCAGTGCCGACGTACTTGGACTGCAAGTGCTCCAACTGGCTAAGAATGTTGTAACGGTCCGACATATTCTGACTCTCTGAACGCACGATTCACAAAAATTGTAACTCTGGAAATATAAAAAATCAATTTAAAATCGCCCCACAAAGATCTCTTTCATGATACAGCCAAGACAATACAGTATTACCACATTTACTTGAGTACCATGCACCCTCTCTGTGAGACGCGTACCTTCATTTTTGAGACAAATTAATATACTGTAATTCCCAGTGTAAGGTGCACAACATGGTTTACCGACACAAACATACTTTTTTTTTCAAGGAAGGAATGCTAGAATTTGAAATATAGACTATTGATACTTGAATTGAACTTGGCAGCATTTGTTGTTGCTCTCATTTTCATTTGTCAGTCTGATTTGAGCATAAAAAGAATTCTACTCACTCCAGTCTCAAAAAAGTATTTCTTGACTTAATTCCAATTGTTGATAGTAAAACATATCACCAACATTTAAAAATCTTAATACAAAATTTGAAAAATAAAACTCACTAAATATGACTTCAGACATTATTCAAACCTGTATTGAATTAATTTTCAGGTACAGTATACATTTTTTTGTTAAACTTGGGCCCACATTTCATATTAGAATCAGAATCATGTATGATGCACACCTGAACGATAAAAATATTTTAAAAATTTTATATTCACATGAACAACGCGCACCTCCTTCTATACTCTCAATTTAGAGAGAAAAGCTGCATGGTGTACTCACATAAATACGGAAGATATCAAGACTGTTTCAGATCCACATAAAATAAGAATGCAAATTCAGAAATGTTTTTGTTCGATAAAAGCTCAGTTCAATTGCACATTCAATAAAACCCAGATCACCAAAAATCCACTCTCGGCGAGTGACAAAAATATTACAGTACAGTTAATTAAGAAATTACTGCGTTTCTCGGGTAACCAAATTTCCAATTCAGAATCCTAAAAAAATATAGATCGCATATCAGCGACTTCTACCCAACAAGACAAAATCGGAAAACATATCAGCTGGCGTCAAGTTTTCTCGCTTTCAAAATATTGCTTCCCCACAAGGTTCAAGAAGTCATTAATGGCCCACAATCAACATCACCAGTCTCCACATAAACGCTTTTCGTCTGAGTATAACACTCCAAACCCTCGACACCGTTTTCCCTGCCAAAACCGCTTTTCTTGAATCCCCCAAAAGGCAATTCCGAGAGAAACAGATTATAATTGTTGATCCAAACAGAGCCGACCTCGAGTTTATCCGCGATGCGATGACCACGGGCCAGATCCTTCGTAAACACTGCACCAGCCAATCCCAGGTCAGAGTCGTTGGCACGATTCACAACCTCGTCTTCACTCTCAAACGACATCACACACATCACAGCTCCGAAAACCTCGTGTTTTACGATTTCAGAATCGTCTTTAACGTTAGTTAAAACACACGGGGAAAGGTAAAAGCCTTGGTCGAGCGGATGTGGAAGAATAACTCGATCACCACCGCATAACACCACAGCACCGGATTCCTTGGCTCTCGCGACATAACCCAGTACTTTTTCTGCTTGTTGTTTAGATATGGTTGCTCCAACAACGGTGTCTTCATTCATAGGATCCCCGATCTGCAAGTCATGAAAATTGAAGATATTCAACACATGTTGACTGGAAATAACCACCCCCGCCAAAAAAAAAAAAAAACAATTCCTTGGTCACATTACGATTTAGGCTAGTTACTGTAGCAAGATATATGTCACACCCATAGATATTTTTTTAAATCGTTTAAAGAAATTAGAAGTGAAACCATAATCACTCAAATAAATGTACTAAAAGTCTGCGTCAGACATGTGCCCTCATTTTAAAAAATTATTATTTCACTGAGAAAAAATGCAGTGCTGTACTTCAGTGCTTCATTTCGAACACATTGTAACTGAAATAGCTACAAAAATGACTCTTAAAATAGCGATCAATTAGAGAAGGCAATTTTATTCCACAATCCCAACAAGATACACGAAGGGATTTCATTACCATTTCTATTTTTCAACCCGCAAAAAAAAAAAAAAGGACTCACTTTCATAGCTTTTGTGGCATCAACAACTCGTTCCACGAACTCCTCGTACACATTCTTGTGCACATAAACGCGGGTTCCGTTGGAGCACACAGCTCCTTGTGACAAGAAATTAGCCAAAAGGGCAGCTTTGACAGCATTATTCATTTCAGCATCTTCAAAAATTATCACGGGAGATTTCCCACCAAGTTCTAAGGTCACTGGAATGATTTTCTTGGCAGCCGACGACATGATCCAACTCCCAGTAGGAACTGATCCAGTAAAAGATACCTTGGAAACTTGCGGATGTTCTACAATTTGTTTCCCGGTTTCTGCGCCGCCTGAAAATGGATAAATGACAATAAAAAAATAACTTCGTTGTGAAAACAAAAGCAATCGATTGCCTCGTGAAGATAAGCCAGGAATTCATACGAAGTACAGTATAATCTAGTTACAGTACAACGAATCTTGTACTAAAGAATTACTTACTGTACATAAAAACTCAGTTTTTTGTCCTTAGCCCAATAGCCAGAATATTATTCGAGTTTCTTCATTACGAATTTATTGCATAATGAAGCTATTTTCAAGGTCCCCATTACTTCGTTGTCAAGATTTTACTGTAATATCGTACAAAATGACGCGTGCATCAACACAATATTCAAGCGACATCTAGGTAAACCTAAAATAAAATTACAGAACGACGACCTTGGGCATTCAAGCAAAAAATGTTTTTTTTTCCTGAATCTTGCATGGTTTCCGCCTAAAAATATGATGGAAGCAAATGCGCTCGCTCCTGAGCAGTTGAACTTGGCAGACTAAATTTGCTGTGTAAAAAGCGATTTACAAAAAAAGGCAACTCACCTTGAACAACATTGTAAACCCCGTCTGGAAGACCTGCTTCTTTCAACAATTCACCAAGCGACATAGCTGTCATAGGAGTGAATTCGGAAGGTTTGAAGACCATGGAATTACCAGCAGCGAGAGCCGGTGCCACTTTCGAAGAGCAATTCTGAATCGGAAAATTCCATGCTCCGATTCCTGAAATACAGTACAAAAAGCAACATAATTCCAATGCCCTCTCGTCAAGGCGACGTTTTTATGCTTTACAAAATCCAAGCGCTAGTAAATTTGAACCGCCTTCAATTTTTTTTTAAATCCATGTCTGAATCCTGCATTAAAAACCTCCATAACTCAAAGACTTTCCTCCCCCTAATCAGATTTTCCTAAGGAATGTTTTCTCTTATTTAATTGACACAGGGAAGAGAAAAGCAACAAAAAATGTCCCTATCTGTGTGAAAGACTAATTGGGCAAATAAACCCCTGCCTCAAAGTTCAGCCTTCTACCAACTCTATTTAAACGTAATTTAAGGCCCATAATATCACCAATAACAATTTCCCGTAATTCTCAATTCTTCTCGCGAAAAAATGCTTGTTTCCCTACCTCAAATTCTCCCTAACTCGATTTTTATGCCGGTCCCTTGAATTTCGACTGTAAAAAAAACTAAAATAATTCCTTAAAGAAAGATCAAGGAAAATTAACTGAACCGAAGTCTTCACTCACCTCCGACAACTCCAAAAGGTTCACGCTTCACAAGCCCGAAATTTCCGCCTAGAAGCTGCACATGGCCGCCTCTAAGAGCCGCCGCAACACAGCCAAAATATTCAAACGCATCTGCGCAAGACTTCACGTCAACTCTAGCTTCCCAGATCGGTTTTCCCGAGTCCCTCACCTTAAAAAAGAAATACATCTTTTTTTTCAATCTCAATTTGAAAGTTGAAAAATAAAAACCTCACCTCCAACCTTGCCAACTTCTCCAAATCCCGCTCGAGCAACCTACTCACACCCAACAGCACTTTCGCACGTTCACGAGGCTCACGTGTCCTCCAATCTTCAAATCCCTTCACTGCAGACTCCACGGCCCAGTTCACTGTTTCCGGGCCACTGGAAGCCACTTCCGCAAGCAATTCCCCAGTAGAAGGTTCAGTGACTCCATTGAAACCCACAGGATCCCGCGGAAAACAAGGCGAACCCGCAATGAAGTTGAATGGACCTTTGATTTCCCCACCAGAGAACCTTCTCAGGGTAATTCTCGTCGTAAGCATTTCGTCAGGCGAACGAAATGATGCCCAAAACAATAATTACTCTAGCACACTACGAGAGAAAAGGAGTTAAAACTGAAACAACACACTAGCATTCAACTACCGTGTTTCCCCAACAAAAAAAAATCCATCAAGAATTCAAGTTTCGATTTGACGCAACATTATGCTATGTCTTGAGAAAACACGACAGAAGAAGAGGATCCATACGTTGGCACGATTCACAACCTCGTCTTCACTCTCAAACGACATCACACACATCACAGCTCCGAAAACCTCGTGTTTTACGATTTCAGAATCGTCTTTAACGTTAGTTAAAACACACGGGGAAAGGTAGAAGCCTTGGTCGAGCGGCTGTGGAAGAATAACTCGATCACCACCGCATAACACAACAGCACCGGATTCCTTGGCTCTCGCGACATAACCCAGTACTTTTTCTGCTTGTTGTTTAGATATGGTTGCTCCAACAACGGTGTCTTCATGCATAGGATCCCCGATCTGCAAGTCATGAAAATTGAAAATATTAAACACATGTTGACTGGAAATGACCTCAGTGTTACATGTTAAACACATTGTAACAGAAATAGCTAAAAAGAAATTAACACTTAAAATAGCGATCAATTAGAGAAGGCAATTTTTTTCCGCAATCCTAACAAGATACACCAAGGGATTTCATCACCATTTCTATTTTTCAACCCGCAAAAAAAAAAAGGACTCACTTTCATCGCTTTCGTGGCATCAACAACTCGTTCCACAAACTCCTCGTACACATTCTTGTGCACATAAACGCGGGTTCCGTTGGAGCACACAGCTCCTTGTGACAAGAAATTAGCCAAAAGGGCAGCTTTGACAGCATTATTCATTTCAGCATCTTCAAAAATTA